ATAGGAATTCCAGAACACTTCATTGTGCTCATGCGGAACTTATACATGGGTCAAGAGGCAGTTGTGAGACTATAACAAGGGCATACTGTATGTTTTAGAATCACTAAAGGTGTGTGCCAGGTTGCATCCTCTTACCATACTTGCTTAATCTGTCTGATGAGAAAGTAATCAGAGTCTGGAACATGTGAAGAAGAATGCAGCATCAGGATTGGATGAAGGCTTACTAACAACTTGCAATATGCAGATGACACACCTTGCTTGCTGAAAGTGAAGAGAAATTAAAGCACTTGGTGACAGAAGATGAAAGATTACAGCCTTCAGTGTGGATTGCAACTCAGTGTAAAGTAGACCAAAACCCTCACAATCGAAACAACAGGAAGCATCAAGGTAAATGGAGAAAAGGTTGAAGTTGTCAAGGATTTTTGTTTTGCTTGGATCCACAATCAGTGCTCTCAGAAGCAGTAGCCAAGAGATGAAAAGACATGTTGCATTAGGTAAATCTGCTGCACAAGAGCTTTTTAGAGTATTGAAAAGTATGTTTATCTAAGGTGTGCCTGACCCAAACTAAGGTATTTTCCATTGCCTCATATACATATGAAAGTTGGACAATGAATAAGGAAGACAAAAAAAGAATCCATGCATTTGAATTGTGGTGCTAGAGAAAGATACTGAAAGTACCACGGACCACTGGAAGGACAAACTGATCTGTCTTGGAATAAGTACAGCCAGAAAGCTCCTTAGAGGCGAGCATGGTGAGACTTTGTCTCACAGACTTTGGACATGTTATCCAGAGAGAGCAGTCCCTGGAGAAGGACATCATGCTTGGTAAAGTAGAGGGGCAGCAAATGAAGCAGACTCTCGAGAAGAGTAATTGAATGGTGGCTGCAACAATGGGTTCAGGCCTGGGAATGGCTGCGAGGATGGCCCAGGACTGAATGAACAGTGTTTGGTTCTGGGGTGCCTGGGGTCACCGTGAGTCAGAACTGACTCAATGGCACCGAACGACAACAAAAACATTAGAAGACTAAGGAGCCTGACAGTGCTGTTGGAGGCCGCGAGTTCACACCCACCCGCTATCTGTTCCTTTAAATATTTACACCTTCGGAAGCCCTAGAAAATAAAATAGGCCACGCATGTAAACAAAAAACACAAAAATCACTTGCTTTTGAAAGCAGAGAGTCTAAGTAATTACTATGTAATCTATCGGGGTCTCTATGAGTCAGAATTGACTGGATGGTTATGAAGTTCTTGCAGGTCTAAGAATACTAGGAGCCCTAGCGGTGGAAGGTTAAGGGCTCAGCTGTCAAAGGTTGGTGCTCCCAAGGGAAAGATTTACAGCCTTTAAAAGCCTAAGAGGCAATTCCACTCTGACAGCAACAGATTTTGGGTAGCTAAGTTCAAAAAAGGCATGCATCCTTACCTTGGGTCAATTACTTCGGGATAGGCACACACTCTCAGAGTTTTGGAATTTGAGCCAACAGCATATAAACCACCACCTGGATGAAAAGCCACAGCTCTCACAGCTTGTGTATCCTCGAGAGTATTAATGCAAACAAACTGCTTTTTTGATTTGTCATCCTATGAAGAGTAGAGAGGAAAGTCACCCTATAAAAAGTGAAAGACTTGAAGGACCTTCATCTTTACCCCATTTAAATTCATCAGACCATATTATTCCTCCCTGAATAACTGCTGGTCCCAATCATACAGTCTTTTAAGTAGTATATCCAAACTCCAGTATTTCTAATTTTTTGCTATACATTGCTAAACTAAGTTCAAATAAACATTCAAGTTTTTCTTTCTTTCTTTTTTTGGAGAACGCAGTCCCCCACGACCACAAATCATGCAGTCGAGTTTCCCACATATGGGGAAATCGCAGGGGTCAGCACATCCCGAGTGCAATTGATAAGCCTCACTCTGGGAAAACCACTTTCCTGATCATGGTATCTCCCCTGCCAGGTCAGTATTAAACATTCAAGTTTTTTATCTATGGTGAAATTACAAGGGGGCTTTGAAAAGTTTGTGGAAAAGTCCCATTATCTTTTAAATCCATTTTGCTACAAATTTTCAAAGGCCCCTTGTGTAATATGTATTATCATATTAAGTTTTCTTTTGGCTGTCAAAAAAATAAAATAGGTCACATATATAAATAACAACAGAAACAAATATCACTGTTTGCAGCAGCGGAAAGTATAAGGAACTACTATTTAATCTATTTAGTATTAAAAAAAAAAAGTTTATCATTATCTCCAGCAACCAGTATTTCTAACTGAAATGGTGAATTGCCATACTGTTAAAATGAACATTTAATTTGAGCTTCATCCTAAACTGTGAACCTGCCTGTTCACAGCCTTTTTCTGAGGAAAACAAATTACAGCAGTTCTGTGTGAAAGTGTGGGTGATCCCTGCTACTGGTGTCACCTGAAACTATCCTGTAGGCTACCCTTAAAATACCAACACAAGTCAAGGATGCACACAAAGGGAAAGCACTTTGGCTCTGATTCTATTGTGAGGGCTCTACAATCCATAGTGACTAGACCCATGAAAAGATAGTGCCTTTCCCTACCCAAGCTTTTATCTACATATTCATGCAATACGTTCGCATTGTGGGGTAGAGGGAAAACCCCATGTATCAAATTATGCTTGTCTTGTGGAACACAATTCTTTAAGTTCTTTGTATGGATCTGACTAGAAGTGATACACATTCCAGAAGTCCATATACAATAAGTTTGTTTGCCAAACAAAGAGCACAGTGTGGATAGGAGACAGAGGGAGGGGATGGCCTGTGGCACAGTAACAATAATTTTTAAAATGTGTTGCTGTTTTTTAAATAGCTTTTAAATAAATGCCTGTATTTCTAGTTTCTTGAAAACCTAAAGAACTAGGAAAGCTGGGCCTGCATATTTCTTTGTGCAAGGGACAAATATTCCTATGTGCTTCCCATGAAAATTGCTGGCTTTACTAATTTGTTATTTGGCCCTTCTAAGCATTTCAGATAAGGTCCCTGTTTAAGGGGTTAAAACATGAATTAGGAAACAAGATAGTATGAAACTACACACTACTTAGGAAAATACATTTGGTGCCAAAGCAAAGACATGGATTGTTAAGAAATCTAAATGGGGTATAAGTGATAGCTGAACAAATTAACCAGCGTTCAGAGAAGTACATAGCCCCAACTCCCGTGTCAAGATCACGGCTGGGCTGTTATGAATACTGCCCAGTGTGCTTTTTGAGGCAA